TTTGTAGAGACGGCATTTTGCCATGTTGGCCAGGCTGGTCTTGAACTCCTGACCTCAGGCGATCCACCTGCTCAGCTTCCCAAAGTGCTGGGATTACAGGCATGAGCCACTGTGCTGGCCACTGTCTGAACCCTTGATATGTTTGAATCCTCATGTCCACACTGTTATTTTCCCTTTTTTCCAGAAAGGTGCAACAACTTGCTGGGGTAAAGCAGAGCTGGAACTCAAACCCAAGTGCCTCTAACCCCCAAGTCCAGTCCTAAGTTTCGGCTCTGTTACCAACCTGGAGGATCCTGGGCAAGTTCCTTCCTTCTGAAGCCTCAGTTTCCCTAGCTATATCATGAGGGGGTTGGACTTTAAGATGCAGCCAATTTCCCAGGACTCTGTCCTCTGTGAGGGTGGCCGGCTCTGGCAGTGCCCTTCCCCAGAATGCAGGCACATGTGCACCCATAACCCAGATAACACCCCTCCAGCCCTGGCCTCTGCCAGCCTCCACCAGCTGCTTCTTCCTTGGGCTCAGGCTGGCAGCCGAGTGTATCTGAGTCACGGGCTGGCTCAGAACTGAGCCCCGCAGTGGGCACAGGCCCAGACCTTGAGTCCTCAGGGACACTGTGTTGCTGAAAGAGGCAGCTCTGGAGTGGCCGTGTACGGGAGGAAGTGATGGTTTCTAGTGGAGATCAGGGAAGACTTCTTGGAGGAGGCATTTGGAGCTGGTCCTTGAAGGGCTGTTGTGGCTGAGGCATTCTAGGCTGCAGGGATAGCTGAGCAATGGCAGAGAGGCTGGAAAGTCAGAAGCTCCATTCATTCACTCACTCAGTCAATCAACAGATGCTTATTGCAACACTGAGAGTAGCAGGGAGCCAGCAGCGAACACGACTGTTCACCTCCCATGGGGAAACATAACAGCACTCAGATAAGCACAGCGGTCAATCCTGGAGGGAGAGCCGTGGAGGGCTGAGGAGGGCTAGGGGCTCAGCATGGAGGCCTGATCCAGTCTGGAGCATTGGATGGGCTCCCAGTGGTGACTTCCATACTGAGACTTGAAGGATGAGTGGGACTCATCCAGGAGGAGAGGAGGGAAGGAAGATGGGAGGACTCAGCACATTCCAGGCAGAGACAGCAGCATGTTCAAAGGGCCTGAAGTAGGTAAAGGCAGGTGTGAGAGAGGAAAGGAAGAGGCAGGGAGGTAGGGCTAGCAGGGAGGCAGGGCTAGGAGACTCCACTGGGTGTTTTATCCTGAGGGAGCCAGAAGGGCTGGAGAACAGGGCCCACCTGGGGACAGAGGCCTTGATTCCCCAACTCAGGAATGTGGGCTCTAGCCACTAAGCAGCTGCTGCAGGAAGTGCAGAGACCTGGCACCTGGCAGGACTTCCCAGGCAGGACACCAGCTCGCCACCCTGTGACCACCCTAACCCCAGAAAAAAGGATGCAGTACTACAGTGTCATTCATTCAAAGTGATTCCTCTTTTGGTATCCACCCATTTTCCAGATGGTGACACTGAGGCTTAGGAAGGAGTAGGGACTTGCACAAAGCCCTCTGGGAAGCAGGCTGGGAAACGGTGGAGGGAGGGTGTCCATTAGCCCCAAGGAGACACAGGATGTGGGCTCTTTCACCTTCCTACCAGAATACGCCGCCATCAACTCCATGCTGGACCAGATCAACTCCTGTCTGGACCACCTGGAGGAGAAGAACGACCACCTCCACGCCCGCCTCCAGGAGCTGCTGGAGTCCAACCGGCAGACACGCCTGGAGTTCCAGCAGCAACTCGGGGAGGACCCCAGCGATGCCAGTCCCTAGGGTCCAAGAGCCCCCAACCGGGCCCCCACCCTGCCTCCCTGGGTTAAGCTCTGGCCTGGGCACTCACCCCCTGGCTTAGACACCTTCTCAAGGGCTGGCCTTCAGGGTCGCTGGGTGGGTCTGCCTGCCTGGTCCACTCTTCTGGCCATTCCCCCTGGCCTATCTGGGCCAGCCCCCACTGCCTGGCATTCCCTCCTGGGGCCAAGAGTGGGCCTGCAACCCACCCACTTGCCTGCCCACCCAACTCCTGGGCACTCCCACTCTGCCCAGGCCTTGAGTGTCCAAATTAAACGGATCTCCCACACTGCTGTGCCTCTGTCCTCTGTATCTCAGGAAGAGAACCCCAGCAGCTGCTGGAGGCGAACAGGGCAGACTGGGTGCTCAGGTGTTGATCATGCACTGGCGGCTCAGAGGCCAGGTGGTGGGGGGCTGGGGTTCTCGGCTGCATGTACTTCTGGACACAGAAAGTGCAGGTGAGGACAAGGCTTCTTTCCTACCTGGTACATTCCTGGCCAGCAACTGCTTCCTAGCCCAGAAGCTGGGTTGAGACTGTTGGACATGCTGTGTGACCTTGTGTGATGTTCTCAGCGTCTCTGGGTACTAGGGCCTTTCACCAAGACAACCAATGCCAAGACATGCTATGCAGCCTCAGCACTGCCCTCCCACTCTTGGCCTGTCTCCCCAGTAACAGGGTTGGTCTGCTTGTTTATCTTTGTGGGTCTTTCTAATGAGGAAACAGAAGTAAAGGGCCAACTCAGCCTGGGCCCCATCCACCCACGATTCATCTTAGGGTCGCCTGACCAGGAGGGTGGGGTGCCTGTTAGTAAACCAAGAAGAAAACCAGAGGGCCTGAGCAGCAAGGACCCCCCTCCTGCACGCCAAAGGGTGCAGCTGGATTGACAGGCCAGCACGGGTCGGAGAGCTCAGGCCCAGGTCAAATCCCAGCCACTTACCAACCCTATGGCCTTCAGCAAGTCACTTGACCTTGCTAGTCCTCCAGCCAAAGGAACTTCCCCAGCTTATTAAGGTTATTAAGAGGGAAACAGCCAGGCACGGTGGCTCACACTTATAATCCCTGCAGTTTGGAAGGCAAAGGTGGGTGGATTGCTCGAGCCCAAGAATTCAATACCAGCCTGGGCAACATGCCAAAATCCCATCTCTACCAAAAACAAGAAAAATTAGCTGGGCGTGGTGGCGCATGCTTGTGGTCCCAGCTACTCAGGAAGCTGAGGTGGGAGGACGGCTTCAGCCTGGGAGGCAGAGGTTGCAGTGAGCCAAGATTGGCACCACCGTACTGCAGAGTTTGGGCAACAGAGCCAGACACTGCTTCAAAAAATAAAAAATTGGCCAGGTGCGGTGGCTCATGCCTGTAATCCCAGGACTTTGGGAAGCTAGGGCGGGCGGATCATTTAAGGTCAGGAGTTTGAGACCAGCCTGGCCAACACGGCAAAACCCTATCTCTACTAAAAATGCAAAAAATTAGTCAAGTGTGGTGGCGTGGATCTATAATCCCAGCTACTTGGGAGGCTGAGGTAGGAGAATCACTTTAACCTGGGAGGTGGAGGTTGCAGCGAGCTGAGATTGTGAAATTACACTCCACCCTGAGAGACACGGCAAGCCTCGGTCTCAAAAAATTTAAATTTACATTAAAAAATTTTTTTCTTTTTTTTTGAGATAGAGTTGCCCAGGCTGGAGTGCAATGGCACGATCTCAGCTCACTGCAACCTCTGTCTCCCAGGTTGAAGTGATTCTCCTGCCTCACTGCCTCAGCCTCCCAAGTAGCTGGGATTATAGGTGTGTGCCACCACGCCTGGCTAATTTTTGTATTTTTAGTAGAGATGGGCTTTCTCCATTTTGTCAGGCTAGTCTCAAACTCCTGACCTCAGGTGATCTGCCTGCCTTAGCCTCCCAAAGTCCTGGGATTACAGGCATGAGCTACCACCCCTGGCCCCAAAATTAAACACTTTAAAAGAGGGAAACCGAAGCTCAGACAGGTGAAGTGCTTTGTGAACCGGAGTCCCTGGTTCCCAGGGAGCCTGTCTGGCCTTCCAGTTCTGCCCCCACCTGGCCCAGAGAGGTTGGGTGCTGGCTGAGAGCTGGCTGGGGTGGCCCCCTTCCCCTATCCAACCAGACAGAAGTACTGGTGGGGACTGCACAGCCAAACTACCTTGTTTTATTGGATTTTGAGTAAAAACAACCTTGTCAAAGTTTCCAGGCAGACTCCTAAAAAGCATTAGCAGATCTGGACCTAGGCAGGCCAGGCACAGGGAGGTCCCTCTATCAGGTTTTGAGGCGGGTCGAGCGCCGTGGTAGTGGGGGCTGGGAGGATCGAGCCGTCACCTTGCTGGGTGTTTTGTCGTGGGTGCTGGACTGGGAGGGTGGGCGGCCGCCGGAGGTGAACAGGGCTGTCAAAGCGTTCCGGGCGTTGATTGCGCACCGGCGGCTCACAGGTCGGGTGGTGGGGCTGGGGTTCTTGGCCGCCTTGTATTTCTAGATACAGAAAATGCAGGTAAGTTCAGGGTCTCCTCCCTATGTGGTATGCTCCTGACCAGCAGCAACTTCCCCAGCTCTGGCTGAGACAGTATTAGTGTGCTGTGTGACCCTATGTGATGCACTTGGCCTCTCTGGGCCAAGGCTCTGGTGCTAACAGCCTGGCCCTCAGCATTCCCTGGACCAATAAGAGCCCAACCGCACCCCAGCTCTGATTCTCTCCCTGCTGGTGTAGGGGTGGTCCCTGGAGGTTGAGGCCCAGCCCAAGAGGGAGTGACCACTAGCCACCTGGATCAGCTTGGATGAGACTGAGTCCATGGGCAGGGAGGACGGGGCAGGATGTCCGGCTCACCTGCAGGTTCTCAAAGTGGGCCAAGGACTTGCAGTGGGAGAGCTGAGCCCCTGAGTTGCTGTGATAGAACTTGTGGCAGACACGGCAGACGTAGCCCATCACAGGCACCAGGAAGTCCACACCTGTGGGAGGAGGGTCTGCACTTGCATGCCCGTACCAGCGAGGCGTCCCTCCCTCTCTAGGGGCCTGTATGCTCCCCCGCCCTCTAGGTAGGAGCAGAACAGAAGGCTTCCCAGCCAGAATGCCACAGGTGGCATCTGGGGGGTCACCTGGAGGCCAGGACCAAGGGCTGAAGCTTCTGCAGGTGGGCTTGGGGCTGGGGCCTTACCATAGGCAGTATTGGGGCTGTAGGTCTCTGAGCCCTTCCACTCCTCTATGGATATATCTCTGGACCTCACCTGAAAACATGCAAACGTGAACCTCAGATCTGGCTTCCCCTAACACCTCCCAGACTCAGGTGAGGGAACTGGAGCCCACCAATGCCCTTGGACACACAAAATCCCCTTGATTTCCAGGAGGTAGTGGGTGGTGTTCTCTGAGCGTTTGCACATGCTGATCCTTCCTCCCAGAGTGCTCTTCCCAATCTATACTTTCTAGCCCCCTCCTCCAGGAAGCCCTCCTGCTCCTACAGGGGCCATAATCCACACCAGCTGTGTCCAAGACATGTGTCATCTGACTGAATCTTCATTACAACCCTCCATGGCTACACCCGTTTTACCAAGAAGAAACTGAGGCGCAGGGACATTAACTCACTTGCCTAGGGTTGCACAGCTGGTTTGTGGAGGAGCTGGGCAGGGAACCCTGTAGGTCTAAGCCATAATTCATACTTTTTTTTTTTTTTTGAGACAGGCTCTGTTGCCCAGGCTGGAGTGCAGTGGCACGATCTCAGTTCACTGCAACCTCTGCCTCCCAGGTTCAAGCGATTCTTCTGCCTCAGCCTCCCGAGTAGCTAGATTACAGGCACATGCCACCATGCCCAGCTAATTTTTGTATTTTCAGTAGAGACGAGGTTTCACTATATTGGCCAGGCTGGTCTCGAACTCCTGATCTAATGATCCACCCGCCTCAGCCTCCCAAAGTGCGGGGATTACAGGCGTGAGCCACCGCACCCGGCCCATAGTTCACACTCTTAACCATGGGCCCTCTTATAGCTCTCTGAGGTCCTATCCAATACTGCAGTGATCTTGGTGCTAGGGGCTGGATTTCAGGGGATCAGAGATTCTGCATGTCGCCTGCTGGATGTGAGCCCCTTCCAGATGAGGTCATTTGACTCTGGCCACATCTACCCTACCAGGCCTAGCAGTGCCCTCCACTACTCACCGGGCAAACAAATGTGGCTTCTCAGGACAACCACCCCCGTCTGCTAAGCCCTTCCTAGGATCAAGCCTTGGGCTTCCCTTATAGTTCAAGTTGGGATTGTTACTTGGGATTGTTACTTCTGAGCAGAGGCAACTGAAGCTCAGAGAGGCCAAGTGGCTTGTCAGAGATGATGCCACTACTGAGCAACAAAGTGGGGCCTCATACTACCCTGCCTAGGACTGCAGGCCGCCCCCACTACGATTCCTCCCGGCTCCTCAATGACCCACTTTGGCTGCCACAGCCCATGAGCAGCCCCTCACCACCCTGGACTGCAGCTGTAACATAAGGATCAGACCTTGGGCCTTATGAGTCCCTGTATCCAGCACCAGGGCCCAACCCGAACACATACTCTGGAAATATTTGTTAAACTGCAAAGAATCTGTCTGGACAAATCACGCCTATAATCCCAGCGCTTTGGGAGGCCTAGGTGGGTGGATCACCCAAGGTCAGGAGTTTGAGACCAGACTGGCCAACATGGTGAAACCCTGTCTCTACTAAAAATACAAAAATTAACCAGGCATGGTGGCGGGTGCCTGTGATCCCTACTACTTGGGAGGCTGACACAGGAGAATTGCTTCAACCCAGTAGGCAGAGGTTGCAGTGAGCCAGGATCATGCCATTGCACTCCAGCCTCAGGAGTAGGGTAAGACTCTGTCTTAAAAAAAAAAAAAAAAAAAAAAGGCCGGCTGCAGTGGCTCATGCCTGTAATCCCAGCACTTTGGGAGGCCAAGGTGGGTGAGTCACCTCAGGTCAGGAGTTCCAGGCCAGCCTGGCCAACATGGTAAAACCCTGCCTCTACTAAAAATACAAAAATTAGCCAGGGGTGGTGGTAGGCAGCTGTGATCCCAGCCATTCAGGAGGCTGAGGCAGGAGAATTGCATGAACCCGGGAGGCAGAGGTTTCAGTGCGCTGAGATTGCACCATTGCACTCCAGCCTGGGCAACAGAGCAGGACTGTCTCACAAACAAACAAACAAAAAATCCACAAAGAATCCAAGCTCCTCAAGCTCCTCATTCATGGGAGACAGGGTAGCTGTGGCATTGGAAATGTGCAGTCTTACTTCCTGCCATACAGTCTGATGAAATTCATCCAGGATAGTGCTTGGCACACATGCCTGGCACACAGCAAGTACTCAAAAAGATGTCTGCTGCTGTCACCTCACTGTGATCATCACCATCATCTGCCTTTTCCTTCGCATACCACACAGTTCCCACCTCGGTGCCTTTCGTGATGCTGTTTCCTTTCCCCTCCTCCACGCAGGTCCAAATTTCAGTCAGGCTCTGCGTATTTTAACTGCCACTCTCTGGTCATCATCCCTAATTACACAGTCATGCAGAAGGCAGTTGATAGTAATAATAGTTGTGGCATGCATTAGTGCCCACAGATGCCAGCACAGTGTCTGGCCTCTAGGAGGTGAAGTGAGGTCCATCCTGGGCTGGGAATCTGGCACCAAGCCTGCCTCCCATACCCTCCCCCCAGCACCTGCTTGCAGAATTCCTCCTCAACCTCGATCTCTTCTTCTTCATCCTCGTCGTCCTCTTCCTCTTCTTCATCACCCTCAAAGCAACCCACAGCGTCCACTGTAATGAAGTGGTCCTCATCTTGGCCAGCAATCTCTTTCTCAAGCGACTTCAGCTGCCCAGGAAGTAGGCAAGGGACTCAGGTCAGCTCTGGACAGCCAAGGGGCCATGCCCTACTCGCCCTACCCCTGAGAGTCCCAGTCCCTCCAGACCCGCTGTGACGTTGGGCTGGGATAAGCCTCAACTTGCTGCGTGACCCGTGTCCTCTAAGGGAGCTCAGGTTACCTCCTTGGCTTTGTCCTTATGCCCCTGGGATTTCACGTGCTCCACAAACTTGCGAGGGGTTTTGAAGTAGCGGTTGCAAATGGTGCAGAAGGGTCGCAGGGATTGTTTGGCGATCTGGAAAAGGGCAGGCAGACCAAGCAGTGTCCCCAGCAAACCCCTGACTAGCACCCGGGTAGGGCCCAGCAAGAGCTCCCCTCCCCCGGGCAGGCCCACCGCGTCTGTAACAAGCCAGGCTGCGCTCCACCCCTGCACTGGAACATGGGCAAATGCATCTTTCTCTTCATGATGTGGGTGGCTGGGAGATGGGATGGCAGATGGCAACACAGAGACAGGACAGACACCGGGAGAAGACGGGAGAGGGGACACATGCTCAAACAACCCCCATGAGCCCCGTAGCTGAATGGCAGGGAGGAATGCTGCCTGGCCTACACTGGACAGAGGGGGAACCTGAAGCCCGAAGAAGAAACAAGACTGACTCGCCCAGAAACCGCATTGTGGGTTATAGGTGTGCGGGGGCAAAGAGGAACGTGGACTTTCTCATCGGGTCTCTATGCTTCCTGGCCTCCGAGTGGACACAGCAGTGCGGGCACCCCCGCAGCGTGCAGGCCCTCCTACCTTGTGGTCCTGTGTCCTTCGGTGTTGGATCAGGTCCCCCATGTAGTAGAGCTGGCAGGTGTTGCACCAGCGCCTTGGTGGAGGCTCCCTGAATGACAACAGTCAAAACAAAAAGAATGTGATGCCAGACAGCAGCTGTCCTAGAATGCTCTGTAAGGGTAATGCAATTCCAACAGCAGTTCCCACAGGATCTCTTAGGGAAGCTTCACAAAATGGTTCTGAGGTTCATCTGGATGAGTACTTAAGCAGAAATAACCAAGGAAGCTTTAGGGGGAAGGGGAGTGAAGCACTGGGGATACCAACCTTTAAAAAGAAAACAAGCTATAGTAGATAAAACTGTGTAGTGTCATGTACATTGATAGTGTATCAATGGGAAAAAGTTGGAAGTCCTAAACAGGTTCAAATATTGGTAAGAATTCTGCTTCACCAGCCTGGGCAACATGGCAAAACCCTGTCTCTAGTAAAAATACAAAAAACTGGCTAGGCAAGGTGGCTCATGCCTGTAAGCCCAGCACTTTGGGAGGCTGCGGTGGGTGGGTCACGAAGTCCGGAGTTCGAGACCAGCTTGGACAAGATGGTGAAACTCCATCTCTACTAAAAAAAAAATTAGCCGGGCATGGTGGTGCACACCTGTAATCCTAACTACTAGGGAGGCTGAGGCAGGAGAATCATTTGAACCCACCCAGGAGGCAGAGGTTGCGGTGAGCTAAGATTCCACCACTGCACTCCAGCCTGAGCAACAAAGAGAGACTTCGTCTCAAAAAA